ATATAATAATATTTATATGATAAGAAACTTTTCACATATATGATAGGGATATATATATACGAAAAGTAGTAGATGAAATTGAATTACCGGAGAAAAAATCCTATAAGTTATTCTATTTTTATTATAATCCTTTCGTCATGTCCGAATGAAATCTACGAGTGCTCCATTTATGGTAGTATCTTTCTCTCTCTCTCTCTCTCTCTCTCTCCCTCCTTCTCTCTCTTTTCTATTTATCCTTTGTCGCTCTAAGCTCACGTTGCCTCGCGTTCATACCCAGAATAGGATGCACTTCCAGGATTTAATTGCGATCCTGTGACGAAGCCTTCCCTACGTTCGTTACCTGCCTCTGTGTGCTCTTCTCATTCGAATTGAAAGCTCCGTCACGCACGAGCTTACACATTTGTGTCTAGTAGAGACACACATACATCTATACTTTTCTCCCTCTCTATGCCTACGCAGGAAGAGCAAGGATTACGTGTCACAAATTGGTATTACCTACCGCTGCAAATGCAGACGTAGGAGACAGGTGTGCATTCGGTATTTCGAGAGAAGCGTCTCCAAGTGCTTCCAGAATATCTGATGCGACTAGACTAGTGAGTCTAGTCTAGGTGAGTTCAGTTACTATGTCCTTGTCTATCCTTACGAGCTATTTCAACGATGGGAACCCATTTTTCGTACCGAGAACACTCACTTGGGTTATCTTCTTTTTTTTTTATTTATTTATTTTCTTGAGAAATATAGTTAATTACAGTTGCTTCCTTTTTTCTTCCTTTCCTCCTTACTTTATTTATTTCTTTTTCTTTTCTTCTTCTTTTTTGCTTTTCATTTTTACTGTTCGTATTTTGAACACATTCAACGGATCCAAAGGATCTCATCATTGTTTTATTCTTCGCGTGGAAGCTCGTTACATTCGCGTCGTTCAAGGTAACGAACCTTCCTCCTTGATCGTACTCTAACTGCGTTCGAGATCGATTTTCTATCTTTCTTCTTTCTCCTTTCTCCTTCTACTTGTTCTCTTATTTTTCTTTCTTTTTCTTTCTTTTTTTTTTTTAATTTTATTTTATTCTTGCGATACCTTCATTCTTTCTTTCTGTCTTTTTTTTTTCTTTTCTACGATCTTCCTCGTTAGGTAAGACCTCAGCAGTAAGATCCAAGGACGAAGTAAAGTTCGTTTCCGATATCGGTGAAATATCGTTTATCGTCAAAGCGAGACCTTAATCGATTTATCGAAACGTCGCGTCGTCGCCTCGTAAAATAGCGGATGGGATTCACTGCGAGCCAACGAACACTAATGTTCTTGATGTATAGTCATATTCGAATATTTAAAGCAATTCCAAAAAATTATTCGGTCACTACTTATTGAATAATAAGAATTATTTCCAGAAATAATATAAGATAATAATACTTTGCGATCAAATTCAAATATCCAAATGTAATCTTTTGTAATTGCATCTCGTCACACGTGGTTTTTGAAATTTATATGCCAATTGATTTTAATGCAAATATTAAATTTGTTGATGAGAATAATTTGATGAATGTAATTTAAAAGGTATGTTTGAATTTAATCACAATTTCTTTTAATTTCTTTTTTGTTTTTTGTTTTAAAAGATTAGTTATTTCTGGTCTACTGTATCTATAAACATTTACCTTCTGCTTTTTAGCAAAGGGAAATCTTGGGAGAAATTTAGTGTCCAAACGCATCGGCGGGCTAGATTCGATCGATAAAAGTCGCGACAAGCTAAAGTAAGCATGTTATAACGGGTGAATAGTTAATACTTGTTTAAGTAGTTATAACGCTAGTTAACAGGACGTAATACATTTCGTGCACGCTGGAACAAGTTAGATCCTCTTCCTCCAATTAAAGTTAGAAATTTCCACGAATTTCTCTCCGCAAGTTTTCTCGCTTGAACGGGGCCAGCAGCACACGATTTTATGTGTGTGTGAGACGCCTATATGTATATGTGTGTATGTATCTAAGGAATAAGAGGAGGTGAGATAGAAAAAAGAGGAAGATAAAAAGAGAGAAAGAGAGAAAAGGAGATAGAGATCCTTGTTAAGAGCAGCAGTTTTGCAATTTTTCCACGGTGAAATTCTGTATCTCGCGCTGTACTAACGTTCTACGGATGTACTTTACTTCCGGGAACCATCTTAAGAGAGGAATACACGCCATGATTTTTCTCTACTTTTCTATCTATTCTTTCTATTTCTTTATCTCTCTCTCTCTCTCTCTCTCTCTCTCTCTCTTTCTCTTTTTCTCCTTCTTTCTAACGTCTTTAAAATTAATACGACGTTGAAATCTCCGTCAAGCTTGCAAGAATTTTACATTACTATTGGAAATATTTTAGGAAATCATAAAACGAAAAAATATATCTTATTTCTTCGAACTTAGAGTTCGATGAATTCGTGAAAAAATAATTATAATAAAATTATTACAAGCTGATATTTTTGTCCAAATCCTATTAGTAGAATAGAAACAGTGATGCGAAAAAAATTGTAACGTTATAAGAGAAAATATGCATTTTTTTTTCCAAAATTTTATATAATGTATTATATTATATTATATTTATATATCATTCCGAAAGAGATTATAATTGATAATTGAGAAGTATTGAATTAGAACGTTATGAAGTGTGAATTAAGAAATAGTTTTTTAAATAAACGTGCTTAAATCACACGTAGATCTGAATTACCACGATTCTCAAGCTCACTTGAATTTATCGGTTAACAGAATTTATTCGCGACGGAAATAAATCCAATGTCTTATACGAGACTGCTGTTACGTGTCGAGTTATTCCGTCTGCTTTTATTTTTTCTAGATTTCTTATTTTCACTTACTTTTATTATATGGTAATTACAATTACTGAATATAAATTACATACATTTGATCTTATTCGACCTTTATAAATACATTTTAAAAAATTTATCGATTATTCGTTGAAAAGGAATTTTTAAAAAATAACATGTATAAGTAGTTATACTAAAATATATATTGCAAATAAAAGTTAGTAGTACATTTGGAAGATATTCCGACGACTTGTTTGCGAAGCGTTTTACTTGAAAAGTATGTATCAAAGAATTCGTGTGATTTCTTCTCGTTCGATCGTATTATAAGAGGAGACAGACGTACACACACACAAACATGTAGAAAGGAGCAACTAAAAATATACGTGGAATGCACATAGTATATATATATATATATATATATATATATATATATATAACGAGGACGATGTGAGGGAGCAAACTGGCTGATAATAGTTCCTTCAATGATGTTATGTTACTAACATTAGAGTGCTTAAACCGTAAGATGTCGCACCTTCGAAGATTTCGAGACGTGCAATTCTAGGTAGAACGCCTTAGGCAATACATTTTCCGCAGGATGGACGTCAAACGAGTCCTTGCACTCGCCGCTCTGCACAAGATCCGTCTACAACACATACACACACATACTTGCGCAAACTATCTTTCTCTTTCTCTCTCACCCACTCTTGGATTTAGTAGAAGTTTACAAGGTTCAAATTGCCTTAGCTTCCTACGTTGTACCTATTACTCTCTTGTGTACCAACGAATTAAACGAAAATTTCTCTACCCTTTCTTTCGAAATACAAAAATCGAATAGATCTTTTTTATCAATTATTTCTTTTTACGCGAGTTATTATTTTTAAATGATAAATGAAAAGGTTTAATTAGTAGTGTTAGTGTCTGTAATAGAAAAATGATGTAGTGTAATTTAATATTTTATAGTATTTAGTATTAAGTTATCAGTAATAGTATTTTTATTTATTTTATATGAATATTTATATTATTATTATTAATTTATTTAATATATTAACTTAGAAATAGAATGAGACCTGTTATAAAATTCCCGACAACGTTGAAAATATATGTTCCTTGACTGTTAGAAATGTAGACTAAAGTAACGAACACTTCTAACGTGAATAATTAGCCCGAGTTTCAGGATGTTAGTACTCGCGGCTTTCTCGGGAAGAGTCCAGGCGAACGTGCATCTTCGGTTAATTGGGATAATCCGGATCGAAGGCGTTGCTCTTGTCGTCACTGCGGTCTCGAAATAACAACCGCAGATTCCAAGGTATTTTGCAAACTAGTACAACGCTCGTCTATTTGTTCGCATTCGTTACGTAAAAAAAATTTTGCAAAAATGCATACTAAATAAACTGGGAAATATTAATTTGATAATAAACATTTCTTGACTAACTACAGACTATAAAAGTAGTAAATAGTAATATTATTTGCATTTTTTTTTTAGTAACGAAAACGATTTGAATGATAAGTCTTAACGTCAGCATATAAAAACGTACTATCTGTTGTAGTAAATATCTTTATATATAAAAATTCAGTGTCACATTGTTGGTTTCGCCGAAACGAAAAATTGAAATTTAACAAAATGGAGGAGTTTTAAAAAAAGGTTCTAATTTCGTGCGAAAATTGGATGATTCTTGGCCTGTCAGAATTAAATTTTTTATTCGATCGGAAAAATGGAGGTTCATAATATGCAGAAATGTATATTAAGGAAGCTGCAATAAGAATCAAATTGATCGGATGATTTGTCTTCAAGTTACAACTGCAGCAAATTTGGAAAATGTAATTTCGAGAAAAACGCGTTTAGAGTTTAAGTTATTGATTTCATCGTTATAAATCAAGAAATATTAGATGGCTTTAACTTAAAAACTATTTGAGGTATGCACTTGAAATTTTAGTATGTTATTTTTAAAGGTATAGACTATCGAAATATACAAAAAAGAAATTCAATTTTTTCAAAATTTCACACTAGTCGTGCCCTTTGATAACGAGTAAGGATGAAAAGAGAGAAAAGAATTGTCCAGTAGTAGGAAGGTGCAGAAGAAAAGGGGGATAAATTTGGAGGGTGAATCATGGCGCGCCAATGCGCTCGCGCAGCTTTCGCGCAGTCCTTGCAGGCGCGCGCGTGTCCAAAGCGTTCTCTCTCTCCCGCTTCGAGTTATATACCGGCCGGTGAGAGCAGTAGCACCGGCACCACCATCAGCACCAGGCCACTATAGAGGCCTTCTTTAGATCTCTCTCTCTCTCTCTCTCTTTCTCCTATTACTCTAAGTTCGTTAGTTCACGGTTTTTCGTCGTGTGATATTATTACAAACGATTGATTACCCTTTTACAGAGAGAGAGAGAACATGTTCCGTCGTCGCGTTAAACAACAAAATATTTATAATAATAAATAAAACTTCAAATTAGCAGGTAGAGAGAAAGAGAGAGGGAGGAAGGGAGAAAGAGGGAGAGAGAGAAAACCAAAATTTTTGATTAACGCGAAGGAAGGAGGTGCGACGAAAAATAATCGAAATTCGGTTGTTTCATTCTTCTTCTTCTTCTTCTTCTTCTTCTTCTTCTTCTTCTTCTTCTTCTTCTCCAACTTTGATAAATTGGATCTTCTTCTCTATTTGTTAATATTTTCATTTACAATTAGTATTATTTGTATTTTATAATAAATCGCTGGCGAGCGCTTTTTTCTTTCCTTAACTATTTTTATCCGTTCGACAAAAGGGGTGTAAAAATTTCACAACGTTCTGTTTCTTTCTCTGTTATTTTCTATTGATCTTTATCTTTCTTACTTGTATCTTAACATCATGGTTCTCTCTTCGTAAAAGAAAGATAGCAAGGAGAGAGAGATAGAGATAGAGAGAAGGACTTACATAGACGTACCTACATGTTACATACACGTGTAGTGTCCGTTAATTCGGTTATCATCGATCGTCTTTGGCGAGAGGATAAACGTGCCCAAGTGTTGGGCTTCTGGCGAATTGCGAACGTGTGCAACGCGATTACACAGTGACAATGTTCTTTTTTCTTTTTTTCTTTTTTTCTTTTTTTGATCATCAGGATCTAACGTGAAAATATCCACATAAAATTTCACATCGTCGTTTGTTTCATTATTTTTTTTTCTCCCTCCGAATAAATATAATTGCATAAAATTATTTTTATCTTATATCATCATTAAAAAAAAAAAAAAACAGAATACAAAGATCAGTATTCATTAACTTGTCAAGCAAACGTGTCGTAGTCGATTGATCATTTTCAAAAATAGATTTGGAACATCTGGCTTGATTTTTAAAATTATTCTTCTTCTTCTTGTTCATTTAAAGACAAAAGGAAAGGTCAAGTTAGATAGAAAGAGTTAGTAGGGGAAATCGAGGAGGTGGAGGAGGAGGAGGAGGAGGGAGTTTAGTACGAAAGATCCAACGGGCCATGAGTCGTCCGAGAGATTTATGAGGATCGTTGGCGTATCGTTTGGCTCCCTACGGAAATACAATATATCCGGGCCGGATTGTACCATCGAGGATCGATGACCAACGTCTACACAGGCATCGAAGGATCGAATAGTTTTGACGGGCATATTTCGAGTATCCCCTGTACGACCTACGCATGATTTTGTCAATGAATAATGCGCTCGGATTTATCGCTCGCTAGCGAACCTCTCTTCGTTTTACGTCATCGGTGTCGATTAATTAAAAAGTGTGAAAGACCGTGGTAGAAGGGTAAGGGAGAGGGAGGAAGAGAAAGATGAGTCCTCTGTGAAAACCCCACCAATATTATCGTTTATCAACTACTATTTTTTCTTTTCTTTTTTCTCCCTCTCCTTCTCTCTTTCTCTCTCTCTCTCTCTCTTTCTCTATATAACTAATAATATATTTAAAAAATATAACTTAACACAATCGGTGTCGCGTTCACGTCAATGGTGATTCTTTTTGTGTGACGTTTACATACGACAACGCTACGATAACAACAATCGCCAGAAACAACAACAAAGAGGTGAAGGACTACGATAACGAGGAGGAAAACGAGGACGAGAACGAGGACGAGAACGAGGACGAGAACGAGGACGAGAACGAGGACGTGATCACGTGCTAAACGATCATACGCGTGTGTCTCTGTGTGTGTGGTGTGCCATAAATGTTTCATAGACACCCTTCGTGGTGTGGATAACATCACGATATATACCTCGTTCAAACTCACAGAAATCGAAGCTGGATCTCGAGGATCTCGACGATATGTTCCCGGAAATCCAGCAACTGCCGTGAAAAAGTACGTATTAGTTCGAACCTCCCTACCCTCACCCCCCTTCCTCGACTTTCCACCCTCTTATCATCCCTCTATTTTTTTCTTTTACTGGTCAGCAATTGTTATTTTTGTTGTGTGTGTTTCTTTTCTCTCTTGGTATTCGAACTATGCGGAAATAACGTATCGGGGATTTAAAGGTGAATTCGGTACGTGTGTGCGTGAAAGAGGGTGATAGAGGGATAGAGGGAGAGAAATGGTAGGGTAGGAATTACAGAGGATTTATACGCGTAGTTTAACGGACTTGCTTTATGATTTACAGTGACGAATATCTAACTCTTTAATTCTTTATACTATCGAGTTCACTTGAATCATGAAAATATGTGCCACGTGAGAAAAAATGAGAGACGGTTATTTATGATTATCTCTTTCCTTCCCATCATTTTGTTTCGAGATCAAATACGTATCTCTAAGTATATATATATATATATATATATATATATATGTGTGTATCTCTTTTAACACATTCGAACCTAAGATATGTAACAAGTCTTACGATTTAGAAATATTGTACGTATTTCATTGAAAGACTCGTTTAAGCTGTTTCTTCGTCCAATTCAAACATCAGCAAGTGTCTTTCTCATTCTCTCCCTTTCTATCCCTTTCTCTCCCTTTCTCTGTTTCTCACTCCCTCTCGATGACTTCAAACGGTCCCTCGAGTGTACTCGACTCGAAGTGCTCTTTCAGTTACGGAGATATACGTTTGCCGATCGAAAACCATACCACGCTTTCCACCACGTCCTCGTCTTTCTTGATAGTGTGGTTGCTTGCATTTTCCTATGCGCATATTTAAAAACATATAAATATATATAGATGTATATAAATATAGATTTTTTGTTTAAAGGATTCACTCTTCAAAGTGTTTTAAATAAAACATTTTAATCATTTTTCCCGATGAAAGTTCATTAATAATTGTTCTATTAGATTTTCTCGAGATGTGGACGTTAAATCAGTTAGAAACGTCTCGAGTATCCCAAAAGAGGGTACTTTCGGTCTTACGATAAAAAGAGCGAGAGTGAGAAAGTAAATGAAAAAGAGAAATAGAGATAGATAAAGAGAGAGAAAGAGAGAGTGAGAGAGAGAGGGTGGAGAGGGAGTAAAAAGAGTGAGAGAGAAACTTATTCGTATGGAGATTTCGTCGAGGTCCCTTTTCGGTTTTGTCCGAATATACACAAAGCCAGTGGTAAGCACAACTTTTCTCGTTAAGGAACACCGATCTGAATGAGCTCTTTTCTCCATACTACTACTCGGCATATCCTAAAGAAACGTTCGAAACGAAAGAGTCGCCGTTTTTTCGACCTTTTCTTTTTCTACCCCCTTATCGCATTTTTGTCTCTCTTTTACTCTTTTTTCTCTCATTCTCTTATACTGTCTCTTTTCTCTATGGTATATACACATAAAAATATATATATATATATATATATTATTTTTTTCTCCCTCCTCCTCTCTTACTTTCTTATACCTACTTCTTTTTCTTTTTCCTTTTTTTTTTATCTTCTATCCTTTCGATCCAGCCACCACCACACCATTACCACCACCACCACCCCATTTTACATCGTGACTCATCGCTCCAGGCATGCCGATAGTTAAAAAACTTTTAATATTAGATAAACGAGACAGACCAAGCATGATTATCTTCTTGCCGAAGTGCCATTTTTCTTTCGTATTTTTCTTATATTCTTCTTTCTTTCTTTCTTTTTTTCTTTCTTATTTTTCTTTCTTTTTCGTAGTGACGTCTACGAGAAAAGAATGATACGGTGTGAAAGATGAAAACAATATGATTTTTACACGTGATCTTTTTTATATTTGTGTTTCTGAAGAAAATATTGAAAAATTTATTTTTCTTGTTCGATTTGTGATACATATTTTGATGAACAATTATAAATAATTAGAAATTATTGTTAAATAAGTAAGTGGGTTTAATACATTTTATTATTTAAAGCGAAATTCGTATAATAGAACGAAAGACTTATCAAAATTAAATAAACAAATATACCAATGACATAAATAGGAAGATTTGTAATGAATTATATGATTTACTATGTCTTAAAATGTTGAAATTAGCCATTGAATGAGTTCGTTCGGTTGTTATCAATTTGAGAAATGACGTCGTGAAAATAGCGAAGAAAAGGAAAATCTCGTGTCAGTGTAGAACGTGATGCAGCGTGTACACCAAAGTGATGCTTTCAAAAAACTATATCTCTACGTGTATATCATACCATCAAGAAAATAATACGTCTCTTAAAGTTACAACAGATCCGGCCCGTTCACTCGCGAAAGTACGCTCTCGTACGGCCATTCAAATTGTCAGAATAACCAGAGTGAGAGCGCAAAAAGCACCAAGGCGAGATGTGCTTTAGAACAGTTCCTTTCTATTTCTCTATTTATTCCTCTCTCTCTCTCTCTTTTTCTCTTTCATTTTTATCTCAAGCTTAAAGTTGAACGATCGAAGCATATTTTAAGTACTTTCAAATGTTTAATGAAATTTGTCTTAAAACAATTTTTTATACTTTTTCCGTGTAAAGTTCTTTTTTTGTTTCTTTTACATGGATTTGTCAAAGTATTTCACTACTTCAAGGTAATGTTGTTATTAAATAATCAAACTTAATTTATGCTGTCTTTCATTTGTCAATTTTTTAACCTAAACCTTGAGTAAAGCACCATCTTTTTTAAAACGACGGATACTTATTTGTACACCTAATAATATTAACAATTGAATAATAATATAAATAAAAGTAAACGTTATCCTTGTATTTCAAGAATCACGTTCTCGGATATTCCTGTTAAGATAGTAGTAAAGAATCTTAAGAAAAGTATTAGTCAAAAAGAGAGAGAGGGTTGAGAAAGATATCGGAGTCGATTGAAAGTTTTCGACGCGAGAAAAGTCCGGCTGTGTTCGACGAATGTCCGTTTCGGTGGTGCTTTCTGGAAATGGAGGGCACAACATGGAATAAATCCGCTCCGATAAAATTGAAGTACCCACCCACTACTACAACTACTACAACTACTACTACAACTACTACTACTACTACTACTACTACTACTACTACTACTCATCCCATCAAAAAACCCCCTCTTAACATCCTTGATGTGCCTCGTACAAAACTCGTTAACCTCCACGAGCATTTCCGCGTTTATCGACTCCCACGGTATACTCCCAACCCTTCTATCCCTTTTTCTTGGCGCCATTTTTAAACGTTGTTTCTTCTTGCCAACCAATCCATTATCTTTTCCTTTACAACGTCCCCCTTCATTGTTCCAATATATCACTGTTTAATAATGTCAAAAATTCACAGTTTTAATAATGTTTTATCTGTTGATATATATATAATACTTTTTTAATCGTCTACAGTACTTTTAATTAGGAACTTTCGTAATTTTCTATAATATATGGTATCCACATTTTAAATTAAGTCAGAGACAAATGGTTCATTTGTGTTACTATTTTGAGTGTAGAACTTTCACGAGCAAAAAATACTTCCACATATATACCGGTACTATCAATTCTATCCAAATAAATATCCAACATATGTATAAAATACAAAAATAGAAATAAAAAAAGAAAACGAGATCATATCTTTTCCAAAGGTGATTAGAAAATCTGTAAGGATTTTTTCTTCTTTTTTATTTTTACGAAACGATTCGTTTGCAAAACTCAGTTACAAATCAAAGCGATAGAAAAGGAGACAAATGTATATATGTATATAAATGTATATATATGTATATATAGAGGATGTCGACGCGATCGCGCGACAAAACGCCGGTAATTACATTCCGGAAGTGAGGAGGTCGAAAAGCGGCGTGGTATGCGTCCACGGCACCGTTTTGTGCCTCGAATAATTGCTGACACGCGATCCTCGCTATAGCAATAGCAACCTACCCATGCGCAGCTCGAGTTTAAACGCGTTCGTGTGGCCGATTGGACAGGAGCTCGTCACTTCCGTTTCATTCTCTTCTTCTCTTTCTATTCTATCACTCTTGTTCTCTTTTGTCATTCTAGTAATCTCATCAGGTATCTTCCTTCTCGTTCATTCTATTATTATTATTACTATTATTAATAATACATCTCTTACCAAGCATTTATTCATACTTGGTAGACATGCATACACGGGCGTGTAACTTTAATTGAAAATTTAATATTCCGTTTAAGTGATTTACGTATACAAATATTAACCCTTGTTAAAATAAAAAATGTATTGAAACAAATATTTAAAAGATTAAAAGAGAATTTATTTGATAAGTAAACGTGTTAAACTTGTCACCTCGTTTTTAATAGGTATATTTGAGTATAGTAATAAATAACTCTTTAAGATGATGGTCTAATTAATCGGTAATAGTTAACTTTTGGTTTATTTAACACGCGTATTTGTGATAGGTATATATTAAATATTTTCATAAATAACTTTATGATGAATTTATTTTCTTTGTCTCTTAACTAATTTCTGAATTAATAAGTTATGTTTGTCTTAAACAAACAATACGCGCTCAGTTTTGGAAGATATCGAATATTGTGATAGATAACTTTAACAGGATTTCTAACTCGTGTTTCTTAGCAAACTTATTGTTTAATTAATAATTTGTATAATAAACGTGTATATTTGTGCTAGATATATATTCAATATTTTCATAATAAAAGATTTCTTGCAGATGATTTTTTAAACAAAACTTTTGCATTATTTATCAAACTTTATTATCAAATAGTAGAAATTTTAGTAGAGGAGCATAGTGTTTTGTAGTTAATTTAAAGTTTTATTATGGTAACAATAATGATAATGATGGTGATGACGACGATGATGTCATCACAGTAGAATTTAATTATTATTGTTATAGGTAATAACGTTAAAATATATTTCATGACATTTAACGTTTGCCCAGGTTACCTAACTATCTTCTTTACTATAGCCACTGTAATATATTTTTCTTTAGCTTCACCAAGCTTCATCCCTCCTTCCTGTTTGCGTTTCTTC